GACCCCTACCCTACCATGTCCTTCCTCCTGCCCACCCCGACCCCTACCCTACCATGTCCTTCCTCCTGCCCACCCTGACCCCTACCCTACCATGTCCTTCCTCCTGCCCACCCCAACCCCATTTAACATGTCCTCTCTGTTTCTTTATGGCCAAGATGGAGTAGAGGGGGGTACAGTGGCTGAACCTTTTCAGGGTCAGCCTTGTCAACTTTCCCAGATTCGCTTTGGTACAATGTATTTAGTTCTCTTCCTGTTTCCGGAATCAGTCACTGTTGATACTATAGTGACTTAGTGTATAGTTGAAACTCCACTGATAAATATGGCACTTACAAAAGGGAAACTTTCCTTGCTAGAGGCCATATCCTCCTGTGGACTAATTGAAGACTTCAAAGTCCTCATTCTTTTTACTATTTCACATTTTTCTAGATTTTGTTCTGTTTTGAGACACTATGTAGACCAGGCTGGCCTCAAACTCAGAGATCTGCCTACCTCTGCCTCCTGAGTGCTGAGATTAAAGGTGTGCGCCACCATTGCCTGGCTTTTCTAGATTTAAAGAAAACAATTATATGAGTATTTTGCTACATGTGTGCCTGGAGAGGTCAGTAGAGGGCATTGAATCCCCAGGAAATGGAGTTACAAACCGTTGTGAGCAGACACATGGGTGCTAGGAATTGAACCCAGATCTTCTGGAAGAACAAATGCTTTTAACCACTGAACCACCTCTCCAGCCTGTTACTTTTTATTTTTAAAGACAGGATCTTTCTGTATTACTCTATCTGGGCTGGAGCTCAGTATGTCCACCAAGCTGGCCTTGATCTTGCAGCAACCTTTTTGCCTCGGCCTCCTAAGTGCTAGAGTTTGAGGCCTCCATCACCATGGAGGACCTTCATCATTTCTACCAGACCATTACCAGTTCATTTGGGGTTTTCAAGAAGATTGGGGAAATGAGTTTTTATGTTTTCTTTGTGTATAAGATGAAATATTATAGCATTGTATGTCCAAAGACCTAGAGGGTTGTTCGTTTTGGTTTGGGTTTGAGTTTGGTTTTTTGGGGTTTTTTGTTTTGTTTTTTGTTTTTTTGTTTTTTTGCTTTTTCAAGACAGGGTTTCTGCTGGGACGGTGGTGGCACACGCCTTTAATCCCAGCACTCGGGAGGCAGAGCCAGGCAGATCTCTATGAGTTCAAGGCCAGCCTGGTCTATAGAGTGAGATCCAGGACAGGCTCCAAAACTACACAGAGAAACCCTGTCTTGATGGGGCTGGAGAGATGGCTCAGCAGCTAAGAGAACTGGCAACACGTCCAGAGGTCCTG